GGGAGGGACAGAAAGATGGAGGAAGCAAATGGGGAAATGAGTTTTCCCCTCTTCAGATTAATGTATATGAAGTATACATCTGACACTTCATCAGCACTCCCGGCTGGTGTCCCAGCAGGCGGACACTGGCTAAGCATGTATCCTGCCAGCTACCAGGCTACTTAGGATGAATTGGCAACGTGCCATTTATCTGAAATGCCCAATGTGTCTGGGAGAGGGAGCACAACTACATTTAGCATTGCCAAGGAAAACTAGATACTTCAGGCTAGGAATTAATCTCCTCCTTGAGAAGGTAGTTAGCATTACCCTCAAGCATGCCTATGGCATTTAAATCACTATAGGTCATGCATTTACTAAAATTCATACCTACCAAACCACGAGGCCTTCATTTATATCTTACTAACATATCAATACCTCTCAGGTTGAGAGTCTGTACTTTTCAGAAATGTTTATTGTTGTGTTGAACAGGAAATTCTGTTTTATCAAGTGCAGCGCTGTCATTTGGACATAAATCACTTGGATTCCAGTTTTTCCAATTTTTCCCCACTTGACGACACACATTGCTTCAACTTACTTCTTCCACGGACCCACAAAACAGTGAAATCAACGGGACCATATCAGGTCTCCTTACAAGCATATTAACCACATTTTCTTGAATGTGGACAGTGATCCTCTCTTGACGAACTGGGTCACCCTATTTGTTGAGTGGCTGATGTGAAACTACATGGAATTTGGCTCATCACATGGACTTCAAGGCTAATGGCAAATCTAACACACAGAACGACAAAAAACAAAGAGGTATTTAGATGGATGGTCTTATTAGGCCACCCATTCCAGCACACAGCATTGCAGCATCACTCTTGCCTTGCAACTGAAGCCATCTGTCACTTTGTGGGAGTAATTATTCGTTCCATCAGCCGTATTTATTGAATGCTTCCCACGTGCAAGGAGTTGTGCCAGGAGCAGTGAGGTCCAGATTCAGAGGAGACAGGAATTCTGCCCTCAAGGAGCCTGCAGTCTAGCAGCGGGTATCAGGGACCAACACAAAGAACTAGAACTGATGGTGCACAATGGTAAACAAGAGTCAGGAGAAAGGGTGATTTATAGCCCTGAGATGGGGGGGGGGGGGAGAGGGGGGAGCGGGGAGGGAGGTGGCAAGGGGATTGAGGATAGTGGCCTGGAAAGAGGGTCAGGGTGAAGCACACTGTACTGTTCAGGGCACCACACTAAACATCGCTTTTTGAGAAGGGAAAGGGAAAAAAGGAAAAAGGGAAAAGTAAGTTCTAGTAAGTGGACATTTCCACCTCCGGAGCATCATTCTCCATCACTACAGAGATAGATAGTTGTAATCAGGAAGATAATTTAGATGTCATCCAATCCAAGAAATAGCAAACATTAACCGTAATGGTTCTGCAAAGGGTATCCAAAGCCAACAAAGTCATTAACCTGGACTGAGTGACATACCGAAATCAGCAATATGGCCAGAAACGTGGGCAGATCGCGGAACTATGAGGAAAATAAGATGGTACTCTGCGTGGCAGCTCTCCTCCAGCTGCCACTGCTCTTTCGACAATGGAACAGGAGGGCGGGCGCAAGGGGAGAGGACTTGGTCAAACAGCCCGCAAACAGTTTTCCTTAAGCTATAATCAGGAAGCAGTGAAACCTCTAAAGGAAAGATATGATGAGAGTTACATTTTAAACTTTCACTGTCCGGCATAAATGGTTAACCATAGTCTGGCTTCTGTACTCAAGCTTACCCATAATAGGTTAGCAACAGAAGTAATTACACTGCTAACATTTGAGACTTGTTATGTGCCAGGTACTATTTTAAGTTTGCTCTTGATGGTATTTTAGCACTTTTTCTAGTTTTGCTCTCAAGCAAACAGTGGAAAAACTTGCAGGGCAGGTAAGCCAGTAATTTAATGACACTTTGCTAAGAATCTCATCAGACAGATTTTAGAGAGTACTCTTTTGTATTTTCTATTAATGGCTCTCTTTATCTTTTTATCTTATTCCCAAGCCTTAGGTCACCTGACATGTGTTTTAAGAATGAATGAATCAACTTCTGTTTCTGACTATGTGACTACCAGTATTACATAAGATATATTCCCTTTAACAGTGCTTTTTAATCAGAATAATTTACTTGGCAATAAACAATACAGGATTACTATCTAAGTGATAAGAGTAATATTGCAGTGACCAAAAAATACTTCTGTTTAAAAAAAAAAAAAATCACTGGGGCACCTGGGTGGCTCAGTTGGTTAAGCGTCCAACTTCAGCTCAGGTCACAATCTCGCGGTTTGTGGATTAGAGCCCTGTGGATTTGAGTTGGGTGCTGTGCTGACAGCTTGGAGCCTGGATCCTGCTTAGGATTCTGTGTCTCCTTCTCTCTCTGCTCCTACCCTGCTTGCTCGTTCGCTCTCGCTCTCTCTCTCAAAACAATAAACATTAAAAAAAAAATTTTTTTTTTAATTTTTTTTTTGTTTTTTCAACGTTTATTTATTTTTGGGACAGAGAGAGACAGAGCATGAACGGGGGAGGGGCAGAGAGAGAGGGAGACACAGAATCGGAAGCAGGCTCCAGGCTCTGAGCCATCAGCCCAGAGCCCGACGCAGGGCTCGAACTCACGGAATGCGAGATCGTGACCTGGCTGAAGTCGGACGCTTAACCGACTGCGCCACCCAGGCGCCCCTAAAAAAAATTTTTTTAAAGCACTAATTCTGAGGAATTTCCCTCTTTCCTTAAAAAGTAAATGCTTTCACTAAAATAAGCTTTTAATATAATTGCCCAAGAAGAAAAACTAAAATTGAACTTGGGGATGGAACGAAGGCAAATTCAACTACTATCGTTGTAAACATACCTTTAAATATAAGTCTCCAAATTTTCATGAGAGGAAAAAGATGAACTTTGATTTGAAAATCATAGTTAATTTTGAAGTCATAAATTTTCTGAAAGACACTTTTTTAGGGATAACTATTCACTATGTTCATAATCTTTATTATTCTAGAAGCAAAATCAGGGAATCCCGAAGTTGAATTCCAGAGACTGCTTAAATACCTCTTTTCATCTTGCAGGTACAGCTGAGTTGATACAATCTGAGAAACTAAGTGATCTGCTCAAGTTTATACAGCTACCTAATAGCAAAAGCAAGACTAGAATCTCAACCTAAATCAAATCTCCCTGATTACTGAATGATTCTCAAATATCCAACTTATTCATTACCAATGCATAAGATTATAAGGCACCGCAATGCACTCATTTATTATTTGCATTATCATCAGTAAAACATGTTTAAAAACCTATTCCCATACCATACAACTCTACCACTAGAGCAAAAGTAACTTGTACCGACTTCTAGGCTGTGCCAAAGGTTTAAGTAGAGAAGTAATACACCCAGGAGAAAAAAAAAAAATTCTAGTAAGCATTGTGATTGAAAATAAAAATGAGGGGCACCTAGGCAGCTCAGTCAGTTAAGCATCTGACGGGCTCAGGTCATGATCTCACGGATCTTCAGTTCAAACCCCACGTTGGACTCTGTGCTGACAGCCCAGAGCCTGGAGCCTACTTTGGATTCTGTGTATCCCTCACTCTCTTTGTCCCTCCCCTGCTCAGGCTCTGTCTCTGTCTCTCTCTTCAAAATAAACACTAAAAAAAAAAAAAAAAAAAAATTTAAAGGAAAATAAAGATGAACACTGAAAAAACTGGAAAAAAAATTCAGGAGTCCAAACTACTAACATATATACAAACATGGGTGCCACGTGCCAAGGGGTAAATGCGGATCGAGTGCTGAGGTTGGAATAATCACCGTTTTCAATTACTACCAAAAACAAACAAACAAACATACAAACAAACAGGTGTCACCAATGGATGAGAAATCTAGGGGAAATTTTTGACCAAATATGTTCACATGGCCTGAAATCTATCTCTCTACAGAATGCTTATCGTTTGCAAGAGGAAAAAATCAAACTAGGGTGGAGAAATTAAACACTGCCATGATGGGGGCGGGGGAGGGGGGGGTTGGCAAAATTAACATCACAATGAAGGGCAGACCGACTTCAGGGGCCTGCAGGAGGCAAGCCCTGAAAGGAAACATCACCACCCATGTCCTATTCTGGCCTGGAATGCAAAATGTGACTTTCCCCAAGAGGAAACATTACACATATCAAACACGTGTAATATGAGAAACATTACATTTTTTTTTCATTGGGAGGAGAACTATAGTCTTCAAAAATGTCTGTGTCATAAAAGGCAAAGGAAGGCTGTGGCAACCTTCCAGACTGATAGAGACTAAATAGATATGACAATTAAATGCAATATATGACCCCAGACTGAATCCTATACTGGAGGCTGAAGAAAAATGCCATACAGGACATTATCGTGCCAATTGATTAAACTGAAATACAGAATGGAGCATACATAAAAGGCTTATGGCAGCCATAAATTTGCCACTGTTCGTAATTGTGATAACAAATGGCCATAATACAAACAGTTTACTCCCAAACAGTTCAAAAAATTATCTGAGTGTGTGGACATATATATGCATATACACACATAGCTATACATCTACATCGACATATATACAAGGAAAGAGAAAAAGCACATGATAAAGCGAATTTGGCAAGAGATGAATAGCTGAATCAAGGTAAGGACCCACCATGTTGTACTGATTTTTCATATTCTTGCAACTTTTAGTAAGTTTGGAATTATTTTCAAATAAGGTATTTAAGACAAAAATCTCACAAATATTTTCATTTCTTTTGAAGGAAGAGGGGAGACAGTCAAGTAGAAACAAACGGTACAGATTAGGTGGGAGGGATGGAGACAAGCCTTGGAAAAAATTAGCACACTCAGAGCAAAATATTGCACATTGCCAAATCTGTGCTTAACGTTAAATGTGGTTGTAAGTTCAAACCTAAAGTCAATAAACTTAAAATAGTCCCCAGGGAGGTGGGGAGACGGTATCACCCGATGCTCTGCTTAAAGAGGCAGAGGACACTCACCAGGCTGGCGGTGAGCGAGGGCGCAGACTGGCCCAAGGCCTGGCTGCGCATGCGCACGAGGTTGGACGTCTCCGCCGAGGTGGCCCAGGCCTGCCCCGCCACTGGGTTTGGAAGCAGGTACCGCCCTGTGGGGGTGAAACAGAAGACAGTGTAAGCGGCAGGCAAAACATCAGTAATTCTGTGGCAAGGGCCAGTCCCTTCTTGGCCATCCTTCTAAACTGCTTCTGTCACACTCCTTACATTTATTAACAGCAACAAGGGTAATGCTGTTTTAATTAAGTCAGGAGATCCAGGGGCAAGTTGTGACCCTGATTTCCCACATAAACCCAAGTAAACCTCCTCCCCTCCAGCATCTGTACCTTTCGGCCAGCACAGGATCAAGCACCTTGTTACTTCTGCCCATTCCATAGGAACTTGCCAAGGATGCATATAAACCCATAAAACATTCTCAGCATCATAGAAGGAAACAGAAGCACGGTCAAACGGACTTTTTCAATATCTACTACGAAAAACTGATCTCAAAATCAACTAGAAAAGAGTAAACAAAATGGAGATCATGGTCAACAAAACAAAGAGTTGGAATTCTGTCAAGGTGAAATGGGGCTGGTGCCTCTTTCTCAAAGCTCCTCTGTCTGAAGAACTGATGGTCATCCAACCATGTCCACAGGACACACATGGTATTCATCTGCATAAATCAGGACATCAATATCAGTCTAGGTTCACTGAGCAATTTACATCAACCTTGAACTCTAATGTATTGGTATGCCTCTAAAAGTCAAACAGTTGAACAAATTTACATTGCCTTACTTCTTCACCACAAGGACTGGACTAGTTATCAACACCCAAGAAATAAGACTTCTTTTTTTTTTTTCTTTTTTTAGCATTTATTTATTTATTTTGAGAGAGACAGAGACAGCATGAGTGAAAGAAGGGAGAGAGAGAATTCCAAGCAGTCTCTGGGCTGCCAGCACAGAGCCCAATATGGGGCTCAAACCCATGAAGCTGTGAGATCATGACCTGAGCTAAAACCAAGAGTCACACACTTAACCAACTGAGCCACCCAGGTGCCCCAAGAAATAAGGCTTCTTGACTTTAGGAAGTTAGGATGGATGTGAATATTCACACAGTAACGGAGCTCAAAGTAGAAATCATGATTGATTTTTATCCGTTTCACCCTAATACATGCACAACGACTGGCCATAGTAGGTGCTCGTGAAATATCCACAGAATGATAAAAGAACAAATGGGCACGTCTTTCTCAAACAACAAACAGGCACAAAGAAAGGATGGCAGGCAACGTGGAGAACCTCATCCAAGGACTGGGGAGGGGAGGATCGGCATTCCAGCCACATACCTCTCAGATACATGGAAGAATGCATCACATGTGGCTGATGGCCCTACAGCTGAGGCAATATGTGGATTTTCCCCGGCAGATCAGTTCCTTGTAGTAGAGCCTCACTCTCTTATTCAGGCATGCACCCCACAAGCCTACCCCACTGGTTAATGAGTGTTGCAATATAAAGTGATTTACTAGCAGTGTGCATGGTAACTACCAGCACTATCCAAGTGCGGTAGTGAGCTGCAGCTGCCATCACTGTCCATGCTAAGAGGTCTAACTCTTGAATTCAAGTACTCTCAGAAATGTGTATCTTTTTTTTTTTTTTAATGCTATTCATTTTGGAGAGAGAAATAGACTGCAAGCAGGGGAAGAGCAGAGAGGGAGAGCGACACAGAATCTGAAGCAGGCTCCAGGCTCTGAGCTGCCAGCACAGAGCCCGATGCGGGGCTCGAACTCAAACTGTGAAATCATGACCTGAGCCCAAGCTGGATGCCCAACCAGCTGAGCCACCCAGGCGCCCCAGAAATGTGTATCTTAATGGCAAAGGAAACACTTACTTTGCCAAAATTTCTCTTTTGCACCATTATATAGTGAAAGCACACCCTATAGAAAATGAGGTCTGCTTCTGAGATCCCAATTTTGCCTCAGTGACAACAGGGAAGACGTTAGTCAACCTCTCCTGGCCTTGGTTTTTCTGTCTCTAAAATAGAGAGAATGCAGTTGACTATTGTTGAGGGCATCAAAGAATTTTTTAACTAAAGCGCTCAGTAAAAGCTAGCTATATAGTCCAAACAGTAGTAAAAATGGTAAGTATCATTTTCACGTGGATTTGGTTTCTTTTCACTCACAAATAGATAACGTAAATATAAAGGAAAAAAGTCACCTAAAATTGCACCAGGGAAAAGCACTATCAACATTTCAGTGATTTTCTGCCAAGCTTTCTTTCTGCAACCTGTATTTTCTTGCAAAAAGGGGATCATACTGATTTTTGTCCCCACATAAGAGATTATGAACTTTTCCAAACAAATAAATATGGCAAACACCCATTAACTGAAGCACAAACTCTACCACTGAAAATTCAAACATAATTACCCTCTGTGATTCTGGTCACCACGTCAAAAACATTCAGGTACATTTTCAGACAAGATAGACCACAGATTTAAAGTCCAGATTTTTTATTTTTTTTCCTAGTCTTATTTTAAAACATGAACTAAAAGCTGAAGTATGAGGGGCTTTGGGCAACCTGTCCCCTTTAGACCCAAAGGCAGGACATTAATAAAGAAGGATAATAAAACCAGAGACTACATTTAAGAATATTAAGATCAGTATTACATGAATAAATGACTTAAGATAGAAATAACTCTATTTGCAAGACATCATTTGTTAATAATGTACCAACCTCCAGTAATCAGAACCCGTGGATTTTTTTCTTCCAATCCCTTCTATTTCTTTTCCTATATTTGGTTTTATATTTTCTTTGTTCATATTTCAGAAAAGAATCCTGGTATAGAGGTATAGAAGCTACGTTATGTCCAGGTTTACATGATGGAGAAAACCTGCTATGGCCTCACCACAGCTCTGCCCCAGGTGCTTCGTTTAAAAAAAAACACAAAAATAAACTAAGGGTAGATACGAAAACAGTTGAAGAACTTAATTAGCAATAGAAAAACTTACAATGCAAACATTTCAGTTCACTGAAAAATTTTATAAATCAGTCCTTTTTTTTTTCTTTTAGGAAATAACTGTTAGACTATCTCCCTATAACCCTCGAGAAGAAAAAAGTATGTATTTATTTCTATATCCTCACTACCAGGCACAGTGCCTGGCACTTAGTAAGTGCTCAATAAATGTTTGTTGCCTGAAATTCAGCCAAACTACACTATTTGACCCATGCCTGATCAAGTGTGAACAGAAAGAATAAAACTAAACAAATTATTTTCTTTAATTTCATTCGCAGCATAGCATAATAGCTAAAAATCCATTAGGCCTTACTGTATGCCAAGCACTTCCAACATCTTAACAACCCTATGGTGTACTAGGGAATATTATCTGAACTATAACACCCAGAGAGGGCACACAGCCAGCCCCCTTTTCAGAAAAGATGAGAAATGGTAGCAGACTGGATTAAATGAGATAATACATTGAATGCACTCAACCTGGGGCATTGGAAATAGTCAATATACTACTATCACTACTCAGATTATCATAAGAACTTTGTTAATTCCATCAACATCATCTCCCACCACCCTAGCAACAAAACAGGGCAATGTGTTCTTGGACTGCAAAAAAAGAAAAATATTTAATAATATTAAAATCAAGAAGAGTATCTCTTTGTGGAAAGGATAAACAGCCGATTTGGAATTGTAGTAATCTCTGGCAGGGAAAATGGGGAATGGGTCCAGGGAGGAGTATGCTCTAATATTTTTATTGCTTTAAAAATCATACGCAGGTGATAATGGGGTGATGAGTTGAACTTAAAAGTTTAAAGAATTAAGTTTTCACTTGTGGTTTTAATAAATTTAATATTTAATTTTGTTAATACAGCTGAAGAATGTGGCAAATATTAAGTTAAGCTAACGCTGGCTGGTATAGGTGTTCTGGTAAATTATTCTCTATTAATTTCTGAACATGATATATAACATTGCTTTTAATGATTCCTATCAAAATATGTGCTCCCTAATCTAATATGGCCAAGTAGCCAGGAGTACATTCCTTCCCCTGCTGGGGCCACATCAGGGAGGCTCTGCTGATGATAGGAAATCTCTGGTGGGTCTGGGTGGGGAAGCAAAGAGCCAAAAGGAACCATGAGGACACATACAGGGTCCCAGTATGAAAGTCATGGCAGCTGTGACCGGCAAAGTTTCCCTTTGTGCCATTGGGTGAACAGAACGGAAGCAGGGAAAGTTCTCGAATAAATCCTCAATGTAGGAAATTCACACGCTAGGATCCCTGCTAGGTGAACCCAGGCACGCTTCAGGTGGGAGGGGCACAGGCAAGCGGAACCGCCTCCCTTCCCTCCACAGACTCGGAAGCGTGCTCCAAACCCTTCAATTTCGTTAGATCTCAAAGGGCACTTGAAAGCAAGCAGAGACCACTGCTAACGGGACCCCCGTGTGCTCCCCTCCTCGTAAGTCACTCTGTCTACCACTACCACGTACATTTTTTACGCTACCGTACCATATGTCAGTCTCATGTAAGTAGCAAGGCCAGATGTGTGCCTTGTCAAAGAAAAACAAGGCGTGATGTTCAAGTGGTAAGGACAGATTTTAATCAGTAGTAACTACTCAACAGGAAAAAAGAGCCCAGTGTGAACTGAACTCACCTTCCATTTGAACACAATAACGGAGTGTTTTCAGAGAAGAATTAAGGAGTGGGGCAGGGAGCCAGCAGGGGCTCAGTCGAGTCAGGGAAGTGAAAAATTACAAAGGGTTAGTCAGTGTAACTGCGATCAGGCCAACTCTGTCTGCCAGCTGGCAAATATTGAAAATTCAGATTCTATCCTCCCACGCAGGCTGAGAGACAGAGACCCTATCTGTTAGCCCAAACAAACAAACAAAAATTTTGACAGTCTTGAGTCTTCTCCGGCAGGCACTTTAAGAGGACTAGGGTCATCCTAAGGATAGCACCTTGACCTTCAACCTGTGCTACTGTCTGTTCATGTCTTTATTGGTTAAGGTTGAAGCCTAGTTGAGAAGGAGGGCTCAGAGGAGCCTGGCTAGACTTTGGTCAAGGAGAGACTGTCAGGCTTCGATCTTTTTATTACATCAACAGACCCAAACCCAAAGG